TTCACTGTGAACATTTTTCCGCTAAAATAAATTCCAGTGAAAATGCCATTTCCCTCATACTCTATTGAGACTTGACACAGCACAGTGAAAATTTGATTCACACCGTATGCTTGAAAACTTTTCATCGAAAATAAATTAAGTGAAATTCTGTGTGATTTCATGAGAGTTGAAAATGAAAAAATTATATGACACCCAACCCTACCACTCCATACACAATGTAACCACACCTCAAAAACATCCTTTCACCAGTGTATTCTATTTGCATTCAGGAGAAATTATATGACAACGAACTTAATTATAATTTCAACCTCTAGTTCAGCACTGATTAAATAAACTACCTCGTCTTTATGCCAACTTGAAGTTATTCAATGCCTACACCAGTGACTTCAAAATCTATGTTTCAATTCCAGGAATTTCACTTGCTATTAATTGTATGGGAGTGCCAGTCTTTTATTTTCTATTGTAATGTCAATTTCTTGTGATTACTCGGAAAATGAAGCTGTAACCACAGACCACAGTGCTGCAACTAAATCCTGGTATAAGCACCGGTTAGGCAGTCTTGAACTATGCATGTGAAGCCAGCTGAGAGGTATATCCAATCCTATAGATTTCTCATTGTTTGGTAACTATTTGCTGCAAATGCAACAAAAATCAATATAAAAATATTACCCACACAGCATTCTACAGGTTACTTGTTTGAATGTATAGACTTTGTTTATAGTTATGTTCTTGAATGTATAAGGGATTGGTCAGTTACTTCGGCCTGGGGGGGGGGGGGTCCGGTGGATCAGTAGGGGGGTTACCCTGTTTTTTATTTTGCGAATGGGGGGGGGGGTCATCCTGTTTTTGATATCATGAATAAGGGGGTCACCATGTTTTCCAGAATTCACACACGCGCTTATGCATATATTTAAAAAAAATGATTTCAGAACAAAAGATAAAAAAGTTAATCATACAAATGTGTTCTTAATAATAACTATTACCAGAGGTACATTACTTGGGGTTTGCAACGCGCACAGTACTGTATGGTGACGTCATGTCAAGATCCCATTCAAGTCTCATCTCGTAGATAGCGAGACTGATGCTACGACCTTCTGACATGAGATAGGCGGTTTGTAATAAAATAATAAAACATGTATTACCACATTCGTAGTGAAAAAATGTATTACATCGAAAATGTACAGAAAATATAGTTATCGTAATCCGTCATATCGTAAGCAGCTATTTTGATCCACTTGGACATTCTAGTATCCTAGTTACCTTGGGCATGCGCATTCACATTTTTTTGAGTTGGAATGCTTATGCGAAAGTGAGATTGAAACGGGATCTTGGTATCATGTCACCGTAGTTGCAAACCCCAAGTAATGTACCTCTGCTATTACCTATA